TCTGCTTCAAATTCTGGTTCGACTTCTGCTTCAAATTCTGGTTCTACTTCTGGTTCGACATCTCTTTCTATTTGTGTTTCAAATTCTATGATAATCTTTGATTCGACCTCAGGTTCGGTCTGAGGCTCAGATTGGGGTATAGTCTGTGGTTCAAACTGAGATTTGAGTTCAGATTCGAGCTCAGGATTGGCTTCAATTTCTGGCTCAAACTCTTGTTCAACATCGGGTTGAGTGACCGTCCAATCGTCCAAATGATCCAAACCATAGGTCGCGACCGCTGTCTCCTTCTGTGGTTCCCATTGAGTCTCCGCTTCGACCACTGATTTAGTATTTGATTCATTTGTCGCTTCACTTTCGACGACAACATCCACTTTAGAGCCATCTTTTTGACAGCGTTTCGACTTTTTCAACGATTTGGGTGTCATTTGACACTCATTTTGTCGCTCACTCTCTGATCCCCAAGAAGTGTCACGCGATGTGTCATTCATATCTTCCATAGCGTTGTTGTGGTCAACGTTGTTATCATTGCCATTGCTTTCACCGTTTTGTTCAAACTCTTGGGTAACGTAATTCACTTCTTCGTCATAGCCATCGATTCCAAGCGATTCCAGTGACTCTTGTGGAAACTCGAGAGTTGTATCCTTCGAGTCATTCAGATGCGTCTCGATGTCTGATCCAATGCAAGTGACAAAACCCGTTGTATCCCAACTCGAGTTTCCATTACCTTCTTCTCCATCCGTCGACTCAAACGATTCGTTCCAACCGATGGTGTCTTCGCGACCACTCGACTCATCCATTCTTCCGGCGTTTCAAAGGGAAGGACACGACTGATAGACAAGCGATGACCAGATTTATGAGAAGTAGTGATAGGATTGCAGTCACTATAGGATAACACTAATGGCTATCAATTGATTCACACTTTATGTGCCATTCATTGACTGCCAGTCACTGACAGTGAGTGTAAAGTGAGTGAAATGTACGCAAAACTTGTGCCAAACCTGAAGTATAGTTCGTATTAATCAGTGATTACTATATTTCCAGTCATTCACACAATTCACGTCCGAATCGCACGCTTTCGTGAGTCATATGGCAATGAATGTCAACTCATTTGTCCGAACTATTTGTGAACTCCAGTCAGAGTTGAACTTTGATTAAAAACAAGGCTTAACAACAATAATCACATCTATTCTTATGAACTGAAAGCACATTAAAGTGACACAACATTTGCAAAACTATATACCACTGTATTGACACAATTTGACCACTGATTCAATTGCATTGAATAATGGCTTAAAAGTGACCAAAAGTGGGAATAATTTCCTAAAATACGTGAAAAAAGTTGTGAACAAAAGTTTGCGCACAAAAAGTGTGCGAATTATAGCGTTATTAATGAATGAATGAATCAATGATTGAATGTTTGCTTCAATTCGTCAACAAAAACAGTAAACATTGCTTTCATTTGACACAACCATTGGATCCATTGATGCCATGGATTGTCTTGAGAGTCATCCATCGCTTCCAATGGAAAGACACGGCAGGAAACGGAAGAAGAGGCTATTGAACACAATCCGGGAACAGGTTTGTCACAAACGATTGTCATTGTCTTCTTCGGCGGTGAATCTAATGATTGAATTTGTGTTGATTTAGATTGAGTTCTACTTCAGTGACGCAAACCTAAGACACGACCGATTCATGAGACAACTGATTGGCGCCGAAGACCCGGACCTAAAGGGCAGACAAGCGGTCGATTTGAATGAGTTCTTGAAATTCAACAAAATCTCGGAAATGACACAAAATATTCGTGACATAAGTCTAGCGCTCGAGAGATCCAAATGTCTGTCATTGGATGAGAAGAGCGATAAAGTGCAACGAATGGAGCCGTTTGTGACCAGAGATGTGAATTGTGATGATCTGACCATTTATGTGGAACGGCTTCCGCCCAACGCTGACCACCACTGGATTCGGTCGGTGTTCGCGCCCTTCGGTCCCATTCAGTACATAAAAGTCCCGCATTTCAGACACAACAACAATATTATGGGATTTGCTTTCATTGAGTTCGAGGACAAAGTGTCGGCAGAGAAGGCACTCAAACACTTCAACGCATTGTCTTCCGATGACAACCAAAATAGTGATCAAATGGACAGTAATAATG